AAGGGGAAGGGGAAGGGGAAGGGGAAGGGGAGGGAAGGAGGGAGGGAGATCAGACTCCTGATTTTTTTCCCACCATAGACTGACACAACTCTCCTCCTATACTGTTATATAAGGAAGCTGTAAGTAAACCAACTTTACTTCTATCTCTATTTCTACCTCCACTAGATTAGAGGTCCTCAAATGGGACCTTTAAACAGAAATAGTCTCACATGTAAGGCTGGGTTCTCACATCATACTTAAGTCAAAAACAAGGAAGAGTGTGGTTTTGTGCAGTATGTTAACTTGACCATGGATCAATGCTGATTCCTCAAGTCCATAAACTGTATCGACCACACCAGGTCCTGCCACTGTAGGGATTCTGAAACCACCAACAAAATGTTGGGGCTCATCTGTCATTCCTGGTAGGATATCCAGTTTGTTCCAGTGCCCCAGGAAAGCTGGCGGGCATAAAGGAATAATAGTTGAGCAACGGTTGTCGCTGGCTTTTTAATGCAGGTCTAGAGCTAGTACAAATTTGCCTGAAAACATGGTTGATGATTCTGGGTTAGCAGCCCCATGCAAATTGAGCGGACGTAGGTTCTGATGTAAACCCCAAGTGAATGTCTGCAAACAGATTTGATGTTCTATCTGAATGCAGCCAGTGATCATTTGGATATCATTTTCTGCCAAATCTTGAAGCTCGGGTCAGAGAGATGGTTTGCATGTAGGTACCAAGTGTGACAAGAATGGAGGGGACCAAAAAATAAACCCCTCTAAAAATCCCAAACCCTGCTGTGCTGAGTTTGAATTTGTTAGATGTTGATGGTGGCAAGACCACAAATGCAGGATAATGTGAGTGTACAGGTCATTCTTGTTTGACAACCACAATTGGGACCAGCAACTCAGTCATTAAGTGAAGCAGTCATTAAGTGAAACCGCGACTCTGCTTATGATCTTACTTCAGCTTTCCTTTGCTTTATAGACCTGTGAAGGTCATAAATGCAAGGATTGGTTGCAAAGTTACTTTTTCATTACCATTGTAACTGCAAATGGTGGCTAAACAAGGGAGTCACTAAACAAGGACTACCTGTACATGCATACACACAAACAAAATACCCAACACAGGATGGAAGAAACGTTTGAGAAACCCCAATCTAGTAGGGCACGTAGCACATTCTCATCCACAGAAGTCTAGCTGCAATGCTTCAATGCCTTTCGCACATTGCTCTCCCCTGAACCAACATGCTGAGCTCAGAAGCTCTTCTTTGCACTCCCCCCCTCTTGGCTCCACCATTTACTTTTACAAAACTGCCCTTCCGTAGACACACACACATGGTCTAGCCTACCTGAGATGTTGATGGGGACAATGTTTGCTTGGGTTGAACAGGGCTGTTGCAATCTCTTTTCCTCCAGAGCAGGCAGAGGGGATCCGTGGGCCCAGGCCATGTGCTTGTCCGGGGTAGCCGGTAAGCTAAGCGAAGGCTCCAGGACTCTTACCCCCAGGGTTGTGGCTTCATTCTCCTTCACTTGCTGGCTTGTAGGCTGTCAGAAAGTGGTGGGGAGGAGAATCAGCAAAATCCACAGTGGGACTTTACCCACTTCACTGTGCCATTTAGGCTATTGGCTATTTTTGGCTTGGTGGGTTTATAGCTCAGTATGTGAATCCAGACAATGATGGTTTACTTGTTAAACTCTGGTTAAAGAAATGATGGTTTAGCACTCTGTGTGAACTCAGCCAGAGCATGTGTGAGAAAGAGTGAAGAGAGGATTTTGAGACTCACTGAAGTCTGAAAAGAGAGCTTGGTCCAATGCAGATCCACTACCCATGATCTACACCTCTTCATCCCATATTGCAAACCACCTTGTTCAAAATATATTCTGGGCCAGAATGAGTCAAATATGTTGGCTACACCCCAGTGGCTTTCTCCTTTGCACATCTGGCCAATGCAAATTTTCTGGGGACAGATAAGGACATAGCACTGCCCCTGTAGAACATGGCTGGAATCTATAAAGCAGAGATGCAACAATGAATGAATTTGATGGCTGCACTCTTAGACTGAGAGCCAGTTTGGTGTAGCGGTTAAGGTCCTAGACTAGCAATCGGGAGACTGTAAATTCTAGCCCTGCCTTAGGCACAAAACCAGCTGGGTGACTTTGGGCCAGTCCTTCTCTCTCAGCCCTGGGAAGAAGCCAACAGCAAACCACTTCCAAAAATGTGGCCAAGAAAACTATGGACTTGTCCATATAGTTGCTGGGCGTCAACACTAACTCAAAGGCACATGCACACAGACACGCTTGAATTAACAACTTCTGTACTTGAATAGTGCAAAATCTCCAAGACCTGTTGAATTACTACTGTTCAGGCAAAATATGGCTGAATGAAGTTAATGTGTCTCTGCCAGAGGTTGGTCATGTGATGCTTACTAATGCCAGAGTTTCCATCAACCCAACCTATGGCCAAATTTCAGTCGTATGTCCAAGAGCACCAAACTCCTATGAGATTTCAACATTCCCACCTAAGACCTTGTGGTTTCTCAGGTTGGGATCATTGCATTTTAGGATGAATGGAGTTTTTGGTTTGCCTCTTGTCCTAGATAGACCAGAATTTGACAAGGCCACTGATCTTGCTTGAGGCTCCCAATTGTTCCTGTTTGTTGCCTCTTTGCTCCAACCACTTGCAGGTGGCCAACTGGGTCTGGGTGCCTTACAGGCTCTGAGTTAAGGAAACCCCTCCAGTATTTCCCTTAATAAGTTACAAAGCATCAGACTCACCATGAAGACAAACTCCATGCGTTTGGTGGGTGGGGGGCGAGGACTGCACTCAAGATGCCTATCCACCGAAGGAGAGCTGGCATAGCGGAATGTTTGACCACTGATCTTGGCTTCAGAATATGGCTCCTCGTATTCTTCTGGAAGGAAGGAAGGAAGGAAGGAAGGAAGGAAGGAAGGAAGGAAGGAAGGAAGGAAGGAAGGAAAGGAAAGGAAAGGAAAGGAAGGTTCAGCTTGCTCACAATCCATTCCTCACCTATGTTATGGGCAAGGGCACTTTCACTTCCCTGTTTGAATGTTTTTCAACCCATAAGATGAGTCACAACCTTTCCAAAGGTCCTTGCTTCTTCCCCATATCTTCTTTTTTTAAGCCATAACCACTTACCTGATGAGGAGCTCTGAAAAATTTGGAATTTTGGAAGTTTGGAATTCTTTATGTCATTTTGTTTGGGTTTTGTAAAGGGATAACTAGCATTGTTTTTTCCCCTCCTTTCCAAAATGTGATATTACAAAACATTGCCTTTTTCCACCTCCCCAAAATGGCAGCCTCTGATAGTAAAAACTCTTAGAAGAATATCCCTAAAATGTTTCAAAAACTTCGGTGGTGGCCAATGGAAAATTCAGGGTGTTGAGATAGATTTGTGAAGGTAAGGCATGTTCCCACAGAAATCAACCTAAGCCAGGTGGAAAAACTCTCCATTGCTCTTTAGACTTTGTGGAGAGGACACAGCTCAGTGGGAAAGCATGGAAGTCCTGGGTTTAAATCAAGGCTTTTTCACTTCAGGAAGATCAGGTCCAACCCCCCAGGAAAAAGCTCTTTCAGCCTCATCCCATCCAAGGTTGGATGGACAAATAGCCCAGATGCTGTAACTACCAGCTTCTTGTTGGGATCTTGGGGTTCTCTGAGCTTAGCTGGTTTTCTGAAGACTTTTCTTTACCAGGTGAGGTAACAACATCCGTTCATGGAAGAGGAGAGTTTGTTTGATGAAGGAAGGAAGAGAGGGAAAACCACACCCCAATCAATATATATAAACAACCAGCAAGCCCTACTCTCTCATGTACTGACAATATTACCAAGCTGGGTAATGAAACATCTTCAGAAAAACAACCAAGCTCAGAGAACACCAGGAATCAACAAGTCAAACCTGAGCTATATATATTCTCTCCTGTTGCCACCAGTTTCTTCTCTGTGCAGGAAATTTCTTCCAACAATATATCTACAGACATAAGTTCCTGTAACTGTACTCAGTTCTAGACCTAGAGGTAGGTTTTTCAGCCAAAGGATTCCAAGGTTAACAGATAAAAGATTCCATTGCATCAGCCACCTTGGATCTATCCTGGTCCTAACTAATCCATTTGCCAGTCAGAACCACAGATGGTCCTTCTCCCTTCCTTTCCATGCCCAACGTGAGCTCTGCGTCTTGGATAGTTTTTCCTTCTCCTCCCTCTCCATCCTTCATCCTTAGGAGTCATCTGCTTCTTCTAAGGGAGATCGATCTCATTTTTGCTCTTTTTAAGGAACTCTGGGTGCCTTTGCACTGAAGAACTGGGTAAAAATGCTTTATGTCAGAGATATACAGTACAACCCTTTTTTCAGGCTCAAGTCTGCATTTGTCCTTTGGGCAAAATTAGATTTAATTTCAAATAAATCAGTACCCATTCAAATGAAAGAAAGCAAACAGGATTACTAAAAACATAATGTGCAATGTAAATTATTTAGCACAACCACTCACAGCATCTCATAAAAATGTACAACCCAGCAGTAACTTCTGAAAAGAGTTCTTCGGTGGTATCCCATGGCTTCAACCCTCCCCTGTGTCCTTAGGCGAGCAGAAAGGTTGGATATATATTTAATCATTATAAATGAAATGAGAAACCATAGCTCAGCCAGCTGTTTCCTAATGTATACCCTTCAAAAGCCTCAGTCAGTGTTAGAGGAATCAGGGATAAGATTTTGAATTTAGGAAGACCAGAGTTTGTTCTTACCCACTGAATTCTGGGTAAATTTGGGTTAGACATTCTGTCAACTCAATTCACTTCACAGTGTCATTGTGAAGGTACAACTAGGGGCGCGCCCACCCCCCAGGAAAAAGCAGGATATAAAGGTACTCCATAAGCAGATAACAATCCTACTGGGTTTTATGGATAAGGAATTAGAAAAGAAATATGGGAAATTAATGTTCCATACAGCATTACAACACGCAGCGAGATTATTGTATGCAAAAAGTTGGAAAAGCAATGAAATACCTACAGTGGAAGACTGGATTAAAAATTCTTTTTTTTATTTCCTCCCCTTTTCTCTTTTTCTTATTTTCTATCTTTGTTTTGCATACTTTAATTGCACTGAAATATAATTAATTAATCAA